AGAGTCCTTAATGAGCAGAGAGATGTTTTTACTTTGACATTTCTCTTGACTTTTGGTATCTCTTGTGTATTACTGTGTCTTCGAGCACTTCGTAAGCTGCGTCTCTGAATGGAACTCTCTGAAGGCATTTCAGATTCACCATTAGATTGGTCTTCGGCCTTTGCATCACTAGCTTCATCATCTTTGTTGGAGGTTTTTCTTTTTCTGTGAAAACGACTCTGCTTCGAAAAGCCACCATGTTCTTCATGGTCATCCTTAAATTCCTTTTCACCATTAGATTGATCTTTGTCCTTTGCATCACTAGCTTCATCATCTTTGTTGGAGGTTTTTCTTTTTCTACCACGACGACTCTGCTTCGAAAAGCCACTATGTTCTTCATGGTCATCCTTCAATTCCTCTTCAGCGTTAGCTTGATCTTTTACCTTTGCATCACTAGCTTCACCTTTGTCTAGGGTTTTTCTTTTTCTACCCCGTCTCTTCTTCACAATGCCACCATTTACCTCTTCAGACTTGTCTTCTTGTGCAGCTTCATTCAGAGGATTCAATCTTATACCAATAACAGAAGCAGTTACCTTATCATTATCTACCTTTTTCTTCAAACTCAACGGTTCGATCTCCGCTTCCCTTTTAGATTTTCTTCTACGCTTCTTTTTCACAACTTGATCAGAACAATCTCGTGCCTTTAAATCATATTCTTTGATTTTCAACGCTCCAGAAGCAGAACCTTCACCGTTGTGGATAATAGTGTCCTCTTCTTGTTTTTCAGTGTTCAAATCGAACGATTTCGAGTTCTCTTGAAGAGATTGATTCGCCTCCATAGACACAGGAATAGTTTGTTTGTATCAGAAGAAAACAGGAATGAGAGTGTGAATCAAAAGAGGAGAGGGGTTAAGAGAATGATGAATCGAAATCTCGTGAGTGAAGGAACCCTACGGCCTCGTTTTGTTTCTTTGACCATTGTTTCTTTGGATTTGGCTTTTTATAAGGGTATAGATATAGATATAGAGATAATTGGATTTGAATATTATTATTGCGGGGAAATAAATAAATAACTAAATAAGAATGGATCATTCTTCATATTCATAACAATTTGGGGGGACTAAGGGAAAGGTAAATGTTGTGCCAACTTTATATTCTAATTCTATTTAAGGAAAACAATTATTTGTTTGGTTTAATTGATTGATGCATATATTTTGTTTAAGGATTTAAAATAAAGTAAATTAAATTGACACCCTATGAGTTATAATGAAATTATATAAATTATTCCTCAATTTTTCACACCTATAAAAACTCCTCTAATTTATATACATATATTGTATTATTTACATCTGCATTAGAAATAAGTGTAATTTTAACCAAAAATAATGATAAGTGTAATAAGTTAAATAAAATATAATGTAGTATGAAGACAAGTCCAAATAGTATATGAATAAATACATTTTCATTATTTTTAATTCATTACAAAATGTATCAATAATTATAAGGAGATATTGTTTAAATCATTTTATATTATATTGTAACAAACAAAAAAATAATGAAAATGTATTTAGTCGTACACTATTTGAACTTATTTCCATAATATATCATATTTTATTTAACTTAATTACATTTATCTCTTTTTTTTAAAAGATCACACTTATTATTCATGCATGTAGGGGTAGATAGTGTAATGTATGTATACAAATTATGGGTTTTTTACAGGTGTAAAAGACGAAAGGGTGGTTTGTGAGTATATAATTTTTTTCTTTGTGCTTCAAGCTATTGATAGTGAAATTAAACACTATCAATATTTTTATCGTAACACTATCTATAATTTTCAATATCTTGTAAGTGAAATTTTTCTTTGCAAAACCTACACCCGGAATGGGTTCACGTAAAAATAGACGTATTGGTTCTTGTAAGCATGCTCGTAAAAAGGGCTTAGCCTTTGCTCGAATGCCTCTGGCAACTAGTTCCCTTGCTGATTTGATTCCACTCCTTCATGCCATTCTATTGTTTGCAAACGAGTGAAAGGCGGAGTGACTAGGCTTTGGATTCGACAGTTGGGATAGGAATTCAGCCAATCTTTCCCATTTTCAACCAAAAATCCCGCTTTCTTACTATATGGTTATACTGCTTCTAAAGAAAGATAAGATAACTGGGTAAAGTAATCGTATTGTATTCTATACCAGGGAGAAGCTAAAGTCCAAAACGATTCCTCTCCTTGTCAAGCAGAAAATCCCTAGCCATAGCTTTCACTGTCTTACTCGCTGGCAACTGCCACTGCAAGCAGAGGGGCTTCAGGGATTACCTCGGCTCTTTAAAGGAAAGCGAAGGGTCAAATCCAATCTTGGAGAAGGCGAAGGAATGGAGACAGGCCAATAGGGACAGCGGTAACGGGAGTTCGAGTAAAAGGCTGGCTTGTAGTACGAAGGTAGGAGTAGGAGTTTTTTTCGGGAAAGGATGGAGTTCTTTCTTTTTAGTAGGAAGGCAAAGTAGCTGAATCAGCTGCAAGCTGGACTGACTAAGTGCAATTCTCGGAAATCTTCAACTGGGCTTGAAAGCGTTCACTAAATGAAAGCTTGCTTGGCATGAAGTACGCATTCAGCTAATGGCATTTAGGTTTGGCATGCTTTGGAATCTAGTGAATAAGTGAGCATTCAGCTTTGGCTGTCATATCTTTCTTCTCCCCCTCTCGAGACAACAAAAAGAGGTAGCTCCAAAAAGTAAGATTGGCTTAGCATCTGATAGCTTTGACAAAGAGAGCAATAGGCTCCCCTGCTTCACCTGAACCCTCTATTCATTCAACAGAAGCCAGGGGCTGATTGAACGTAATGGGTTGCTGCATCTCATGCGATTGGAAGAGCACGAGAAGGACAAGCTACTGACTTGAGACTTCCTGTTCTATTGGAAGAGAGATGAGATTCCTTAATTGAATCGGGGAAGCACTTCCCTTTTCCAGCCTGAGAGTTCTGTACTTTCTGCCTTCAAGCCCAGTTTAATCTTCCACGCATGTAAGGGCGCGGAAGAAAAGAAGAGCAGCCTTTAGGTAAGGAAGGACAACCACGAGAGAGGGAAAGCACTCGGTCCAATCCAACAGAGAGATAAATAAAGGAAAAGGGGAGCCTGCAACTGGAATGCAGAGAAAGGGGGTTGATCAATAGCATTGCTGATTGATAAAAGTCTGTAGCTAGAACCGTCGATTGAGAGGGATCACCTTCTCTCATTGATGAGGATGGAACAAGATGATGAAGAAGGCGGCGAAAGTATAGAGGAAAATCTGGGAAGAGAACAAGGAGATCTCTGAAAAGGGGAGGCAAGGAAGTAGTAGAAATGTTGAAGAGGAGACAACCCGCTCTTGAACTTAAGACTATGCGCGTCGCGTGCTCGATCTAGAAATTGTTTTGATGAACTGTCATTAAAAAAGAAAGAAGAGAAAGAAATGGGAGTTGGCGCCTACATAACAGGTCGCTTGCTTACCAAGCCATCCTGGCTTTTCGCTCCTCCAGTTCGATTCTTATTATTATTGACTTGACTTATAATTATAAAAACTACTTACTATAAAAATTAAAGACGATCGATTATCTACCCAAGAAGATAGAGAGTCCCACATACGAGAAAAGGTCACAAATAGAGTTGAACCAAGTAAGATTGCAAAGGCATAATGATAGTAGGGTCGGGATATCCCCGCCCTCCGAACCGGACGTGAAGGTCCCCCCTCATCCGGCTCTCTGCAGGGGAATCTCCACTCACTGCTTCCCCTAATATCCTCCCTTTACTTTACCACATCATGGGGGTTTACAGGAGATCCCAGAGGCTCGCTCGGACTCGGACAGGCAGCTATACCATACCTTTTGACTCAACTCTACTCTAGTAGTCACTGGACTCACTATAGTAGTCCGTCCGGCTGCTCTTGCTGAAATCATTACTCTTCATTCTCCCGTGCTCTAGCAATTGCGCTCCCTAGACCACTACCATGTAGTTAGGTAGAGAAAAAAAATTCGTAGTGACGGGAATCTGGGGATCCCTATAAATATAAAATTTTAAGAATATATATAGAGAAGCTACCTTTCTCTCACTCAATAGATGTATCTGGTCTGGTACGGTACAGTACAATACGAGACGATGGAATGCAATGGGATGGATGGTAGAGGGCTGCCTGCGCCCAAAAGCGATGATTCACTTGTCCCCTTGTCCATAGAGACCTCGTGGCATACAACCGAAACGACTCCCGCTATATAGCCGCCCCTATCTCTCTTTTTACAGCCTCGTGGACGGACTAAAGAAGGGAAGTTAAAGAACGGGGCAGTGAAGGCTCGAGAAGTAGACAGCAAGCTTTTCTCAGCCCCCTTTTCTATTATTTATTATTATTATTAAAGCGCTAGCGCGCCCCTATCTCTAATCAGTATTAGGGGCGTAAGCACTTCTTTTCTGTACGCTAGGGGATGGGATTCATTCACTTGCATTCCTGCTAGCACTACAAAAAGCTCCGGTCTGAACGCCCCTACTACTGCTTTGCAGCCTTTCCTCGGGTTCGTAGAGTCGGGTTTCCCGTTTACCCACAACGGAGGAGCCGCCCCCACCAGACCAGGCAGGCGGCCACGGGTCATAACGCACTCTTCGCACAACAAATCCACTTTGAAGTTGACTTATCCGCTCGGCCAATCGTCGGAATGTGTACGAGATACCATAAGGGCCCAATATCTCAATAGCACCTTTGTCTAAAGCTTCAAATGAGACTTCATATCCGAAATGCAGGAACGATCTGACTATAAAGTCATTCAAAACTTGATCGAAGAACCATCGTTTATTGAAGAAGCTATAGAGTCGATTACTAAAAGTACTCGTTTGAAAGGCTCGTTGGAATTGATCCGCTACGGGATTTACATTATACGCAACAGAAGCACCTGAAGTACTAAACAGAATAGGTATTAGTTTGGTAATGGTTGGAGCAGCAAACTCGGATTCGGCAAGAATCTCATTTTTTGGTAGTACGAAGGGGGAATTGGCCCAAAAATTGGATAGGGGTCAAGACGCAGCCCCTACTCACTTATGCGCCGGCGGCTGACTCAAGTGCCCCCCGAACCGCGCGAAATGGTCGCCTATTACACGGCTCACTAACTCTGCCTGGGGTGTGGGGGTACCTCTTATTCGTCGGCGGTCCGGCGCACCCCTACTCACTTAAAGGATGCTGCTTAATTACTAAGGAAATTCTTTATTAATCTAGAGAGTTCCCTTTCGTTAAGCGCATCGAGCCAGGAGTGGACATCATCATCTGCAGACAAATCCATATCCTCTTTCATCATTAGCTTAGCTAAAGTGGAATAGTATGACTGGCTTTCCGGAAAATGAGACGAAACCCGCTTTATCAATAACTAACTTATCTATCTTTGGCCACTGAAAACCGTACGGAAGCCTGACTTTGGGGTATAGGGAGAGATTATCAAGATCTGCAACATCATACTTGTTGTCCCTACTCAACTCAACTTATTAACTGCCCGTTCAAGGCGACTGATCTTCTCCTTCCGATTCCTCTTCCGATTCTGAATCAGAGGATCGGACGGTTGTGGTGGGACGTATGGCACTATCTAATTCATGGGAGTGAGAGCCAAGGACACGGCCGGTACTGCAGGAGGTTTTCTTCGCGTTTGTACGTTATTTAAATCATTCTAACCTTTCGCTTTCTGCCCTAGGTTGTGAACTCGACATGGCTTGCGGGAATATGGGGTTTAAAAGTGAAGCAGGTGACATATATAAGATCAAGCGCGTGGATCTGTTAAAAAAAACCACTAGGAGAGTAGCTTAGATAGTATGCCTCGACCGGAAGCCTGATCGCTCTAGGCTGTCTTTCCGACAATGCAGTTTACTTAGCTTAGGGGAGTCACGTTTTTGATAAATGAAAAGTGGATCGATCCGCTTCTCCTTAAAGAAAAATAAAGTAATAAAGAACTAGCCTAGTGGAATATGTAGTCCGGATTACGGTAGCAGTTCCCCAATAACGGTTACAGTAGGTCTCTTAGAGCCAGTTCTAGTAATAAGGATTCTAACTATTGGAAATATTTATTGGTAGTACGGGGGAATCAGCTTCATTCAATGCCAGCATCTCTCTCAGCTGCAAGAAGATCAACTGCATTGCCAAGCTCCAACTCTGCTTTTAGCTTTAGTCGGCTGAGCTACTCTCCTCCTGGAGTTCGGAATCGGCAAGAGAGAAGAGGGACGTACTTAACAAGGAAGTGGAATCAATCCCGTTTGCTACAGGATTATTTCGATCTGGTAAACCCCTTTTTACTATAAAGTAAAATCTCAGTTTGAAACTCCTAGCTCAAACTAACAGCGTATTGTCCCATCTCCTAGCTCAAACTAAGAGCAGTTTTGGAATGAAACTTCCTCCCTATTCCTATGGGTCGAGTGAGCTCTTGCTTCTCCGCTTCGAGTAGCCGACTCGCCCTTTCTTACCAGATATTTGATTCCCTAAAAGATGCCGAGCCAAGATTCGGACCAGGTGATTTTCTTCCTCTTCCTCTAGTTAGGCATAGTCCGAATTAGCTCGTTAGTGGTAGAAGCTGGTTCATCGGTTTAAGCCAGTCAATCTATCCAAAGAGCCTACCCTACGCTATAATAGATTAAGCTCCAGCTGCGCTTTGCTGATTTCTTTCTCAATCCTGAATCCGAACTTGCAACTTTAATCACGAAAGACGCTTTCTCAGTATCTATTCAATTCGGACTTCATGCTCACTTCAGAAATGAAGCTAATAAGGCCTAAAGTTGAGCGACGAGTCCAGTCCCAAAACCACACCTGGCATGAGAATCAAGCGAAGTAGAGCGATAAGCACACTATCGATTGATCCAAAGAAGCTTAACGACAACTTCCATTCCTGGCCCAGAAGGAAAGAGACGAAATCCCTTGCTCCATCAAAGGAAGCTAATGGGCCGCCCTTAGAAAACCATGAATCTTAACCCTAGTGAAGGTAGTCGATGAGAGGAATAGGTGGTTTCCAAAGGATAGAGTCATTTTATATGACGCTCTATCTGTATTGGATGGATGCCTTAGCTGTGGGATAGAAGGCTTTTCTTTCAAGTCTTCTTTTCTTTGATCGCCCTTTGTAGTTAGTCTAGGGCCTTGACTTGAACACTTCGCTGAAATCATGTAGAAGAGGTCATCCCTTAGTGGACTGATTAAACCTTGTAGCATAGCTTGTTTTGTTGCCCTTAGACCGGTCTCCCCTCATTCATGCCTTCCTTCAAGGCCTATTCTTTTGGATATCCTTGTTCCCCTCTTTCCTGGAACATCCTTTTATTCTGATTGATTGATGGGACTTCTGTCTGAAATCCCTTGACCTAACCTCTCCTTGACTTGCCGCATCCAAGTCTTCCCCAACCTCTCCTGATGTTCTTGGTGAGCTAGCCAGCCTGTCATCCACCGCCCCAACTGTGATGGTCGTCCCCCCTTCGGCTAGTTCTTTCACAAGTGACCCTGTCTTCCATCTGCTTCTTCCTCCTAAGGCTTTTTTCCCCCTAGCCAACCAAACCAAGTGGTTCTGTCTTTCTTCTAGTAGGTACTCTAGAGGTCTTCAGCCCCATGTTCCACAGATGGACAGCCGGGGGACGACAGGACCGGGTTCTATCTCATGATGCTGCTGCTACGCTCATTTGGTCGAGCAAGGTCTTCCCTTGTCTTCTATGTATGGCTGGCTCTTCTTGATCTTGAGGTCATGGGCTAACTCGACCGGACCATAGGGAGAGGGGTTCAAGATGCCCTCGTCTAAGTCTGTCTATTTCTTTCTTTGCTTTAGGAGCTCGTAGGTCTCAAGGGTTGTTTTCCAACTCGACCGGAGGACTCTGTTGAGATGTCAACTGCTAAGGGAACGTCTTCCGGATCGATCGAAGAGGGAGGTGAAAAGAAGAAGTTTAGTATATCATAGCTGACCGCAGGTTGGAGAATCTCCGCTTGCCCTGTTGAAACCTCACCCTATGTCAGCAGTGAAGTCTTGCTCATCGAAGACGTAGAAATGAAACTGTGTAGATAGAGGTGAAGGTGAGAAAATGAACAACTTATCAATCCTCGTAGTCGATTGTTTTTGTGGAAGATGTACCCCGACCCTGTATCATGAACACATGAAGGGTACGGCATCGGGTCAAATAGGAAGAATTCTCCAAACACTAAAATCCTCGTTGGACGGAAAAAGGAAGGCGAAAGCCTATCTATAACTAGGGACCGCCAACCCAGACTTTGATCAACAATAGGCCAACTGCTTATTCTGGTAGTGAAAAGAAAGCCCATACCTAACTCGCTATGCTTACAGCTTGGCACGGTCCCGTGCTATGCTACGAGATTCTAAATACCTTTCCTCACCGCCACCTTCCTTCTGAGCCAGCCCGATTGGAATCTTTTACACTTTCGTTATCTTTCTTTTATTGATCCAGCCTATACCTATTTCCTCTTGCTTCGTGCGGCCGGGCCTTTACCTCATAGAACAGAAATCCTGTTTAGGAATCTAGCAGCCATCAAGACTGAAGGCGAGTCAAGAAGGAACGGAGAGTTTACAATTCACAACCTGGCATCCCACACAGAAGACGATTTTGATTTGATAGCAGACTTTATTTTGTGCCAAAGGGAGTTATAATGTGCTTTGGTTCACGTATATCCCTATATAGATAGGCTCTGTAGTCGGGCTTAAGCCAGTTTCACCGAGGGTTTAAGCAGTGATTAGGTACGAGCAATAGTCTGATTAGGATGATGCTGGAACTGCGCTCTCTATTAAGAGCAGAAAAGACTGATCACTAAAGAGATACACTGATTTAGTGTGTAGTTCCTTTGTGCCCAGAGGACTTGAAAGAGCTTCCTTAGGATTCTACCTCAATTCAAAGTCGTAAGTCTTTCGCTTGCCAACTTAGGAGTACGGGGCTCGTTGGTCTTGGTTTCGATTCCAGAGATCGAGATTCGAATTAGCTCTTTTCGAACTAAAAATAAAGTGAGGTGAGTGAGCAAGCAACTTCCTAAAAAATGGAAATAAAGGAGAGTTCTTTCACTTCCGGGAATTAAGTAGAGGATCCCGGCTTCCCTATCTGATGATTAGGATGATGCCTGAACTGGAACTGGTGGAATCCCTACTAGTCACCGATGTTGGTGCCTTTTCTGCTCTTGTCGGAGTAGCTACTCTTGGTGCTTTTGGCTTAAGGAAGCAAGTAAGCTGAGGGAGTTCTGTGGTGAAGGACTACGCGCTGCTAATGTCCACATTCGGTCGGTCTTCAAGTGAGTGAGATGAGGAGTGAAGAGATTCGGGTTAGCCAAGTACCATCCATTTAGCTATCGGACGATGTGATCGTCCGCCCATTATTTATTCTTCACCCCGCTTCTGGTCTTCCCACATGCAACTGGTATGCGGTAAGACAAGTCTTCATTCTACGCGGGTTAGAATATGCTCTTCCTTTTCCGAATGTTAGCAAGAAGGAGATCTTTCGGAAGATCAGATAGAATGCCCTGTTCAGTTTGAAAGTGAATCATATCCTAATCATAGAGTGGAAGAATGGCTTGTGCTTGTGACAGTCAGAAGCAGAAGAAATAAAGGAACTTAAACCGTTAATTTACGAGCAGGGAATAGGCCTTATCCATTGGGATGAGACAATTCATCTTTCTCCTATATAAAAGTCTGAAAGAGGTTTACTTTCTTTCAAAGAGTTAGCAGGGTAAGGGCTTAGAAGAGATTAGCGTTTTGGCTAACAGTGGAGACTCGTCTTGGCTAGCACACCCTTCCCTTGCTTTTTAACTTCATGGCTCTCGCATGGGCTGAAACCAAATAAAGAATAGCTGGGAATGGCAACAAAGATGGCTGCTTACACTAAACCCTATCATGGATACTGAGGGATTGATACTGTCAAAACTAGCACTTCCTTCTCTAACTCACGCATATTGGGATTCTGCTTTCACTGGAACATTCACTTTCAGGGATAATCCAGTACAGGAGCGAAGCAACTATAAAGATAGGGATAGGGTAGAAAGGTAACGCTTTACCGCCTTGCCTCCTCACATTGGAAAGGGGGGCTAGAATCAACTTTCCCTTACCTACCGATCGGCTCAGGATCGATAGGCCAATTGACTAGATAAGAAAGGAGTGAAC